ATACAGAGTTAGATGCTGAGTGTGGTGGCACATGTCTGTGATCGTAACAACTCCAGAGGCTGAGGCAGGAGGATCTCAAGTTCAAGGCCATCCTGGGCAATTTAGCAAGACCCTGTCTCGAAATAGAAAACAGAAAGGGCAAGGGGTTGTAGCTCAGGGGTAAAGCATCCCTGAGTTCAATCCCCAATACTGCGGAAGGAAGGAAGGAAGGAAGGCAGGTTGGTCAGCATTAGCTTTTTCTAACATAGGCCTTTGTATACTGAAAGAAAGAACTAATCCAGGTTGGAAGCTATTTCCCATGACAACTGGGTAGTGTGTAAGATGTGGAGATTAACAGTTACATTTTACAGGTGATAACAGTAAACTTGTGAAGGTCAGATATTTCTAGGATTGTCTCTGGAGGGTTCTAAAACGGAGAACAGGATGGCTATGCTTCTTATGCAAGGGCCTTCAATCTCCTGCATACTTTTGGCCTCATCTTACACCTGTGTCAATAAGCCCATGTCTCTAGGGTTTCTTTTCACAAGCAATGGTTAATTAAGAAGCGTTCAGGCTCTGGCTTCAGACACGATTTTACTACCAGTAAGAGCAGAACATAGAGGGCTTGTAAAAATGTAAGACTTAATAAAACATATAGGACATTTTAGACATTTAAAGAAAAGATGCCGAGTTCTATAATATTATACCTTCATAAAAAATTAGAATGAGTCTAGAGGGAAGGTGGGATGAGACATTATGTTCCTCTGTCTGGAAAAGGGTGACCCAAAAATGGGAGGCTTGAGGTGGGAGGGGGTACACACACATCTAAGACGGAAGATATTGTGAGCATATTTGTTAAAGCTGGAGTCTAACCTCAACATGGATTTGAATCCTGTTTATCAATTATGAGTTCTATGGCTTTAGGCAAATTGCTTAAATTTTTGTGCCCCAGTTAGTTTCTTCATTTGAAAAATTAGGTGTAATAACCATATAATTAGAGTTGTGAGGATTAAATATGTCAATACATATACTGCCGTAGTCCGGCTGGGCTGCCTAAGTCCGACCGGGCAAAATAACCGAGAGGTGACAAGCAACTTGAAGGCTGAAGCAGGAACTACTTTATTGCGAGTGAACTCAGCAGGAACTGAGAACTCAAAGTAGCGGGCACCCGAGGTAGCGGGAGCCGCTTCTCTGCGGGACAGCAGAGGTACATATACCCAACTAATTACACACAGCTTAACTTAATTAACATCATCTAGATACAGCAGTCAGTCATTAAGAAATCCTCATCATCTTAATGGCTCGCTGGCATTACTTCACAAACCACTCCTCCTGGCAAAGTGCCAGGCGCATCTTGACTTGATTTGCATCCCCAAAAATATACAACACTTGGAACAATGCCTGACACTTAGAAATACTGTTTGCTGTCACTGTTACTCTGGAGAGCGGCCCATGCCCTCCTCTGAATTACTCTTGGATGTACAGAACAGCAGCTTTCAGTCTGTGCCTAAACCTAAGTCACTCCATTTTGTAAAGCATTAGTTTGCCCTAAATTACTCCATTTTGACTACAGGTGCCAAAGTAGAATGACTCCCTATCTCGTTTTTACAAGTGAACAATTACTATCTGCCTGGCACCACCAAAGGCATAAATTGATAAATAACTTATATGTGCCAACTTATCCAACTAAATCAAGGAGTACCTGGACATGTGGATATCCCATATCATATCAGGAATGCCAGACACAGGTGCTTATCAACCTTACCTGATGAGAACCCTCATTGGAGACCCATAAAGGGAGAAGCCTCCCCCACCAAGACTTAACATGGTCTGAAACCAGGGCAAAGGACAGGTGGATGGCACTCCCCATAACCCGTTAGGTTGCTAACAGCCTCTGGCGGAGGGGAAGGATCACACTTTCTAACATAAGCAATCACCCCCAGATGGCTTTCTTCCTGCCCTTTTGGTCACTTTTGGTCACATAGGCAGAGTAGGAGGAGGGGTGATATCAATAAGGGGCAAGACGCCCTCACTCCCTTGGGCACCAGCTCTGGAGCCCCTTTTCCCTGGAGGAGTCTCTCTCTCTCTCTTCTATCCTTTAAATAAAACTTATTTTCTTGCCTGAGTGTTTCTTGGGTTTTAATCTTCAACACTGGGGAAACAAGGACCTGAGTCTGATTTTCAAGTCCAGTTTCAGTACCTTGACCTTGTCATCAGGTCCCTCATTATGGGCCTCGCCTGTGAAGGTTGACGCAGTGATGAACTTCCAATTTCCTGTCTCCACTGTGCTTCAGCAAAATGTGGTTCTCCTGCCTGCGACAACCACACAAGGCCAACTTCCAGCTCACACCTCCAGCGGACGCTCTGACTGTGAGGGCCACACAAGGCCAACTTCCAGCTCACACCTCCAGCGGCCGCTCTGACTGTGAGGGCCACACAAGGCCAACTCCCAGCTTAAACCTGAGTGGATGCTCTGAAACAGAAACTGCTGCTCATCTGGACCTTCTGCTTTAGCAACTCTGTAGGTTCAGATCCTTATCTGACCACCCACAGTGACTCTGACTCTGCCTCCACATCTCTCTCTGCCTGTGCTCTTGGACGCAGCATCCTGAAACCCTGTGGCTGCTTTGACTTTCTGTGACCTATTTATATCTCATTATTTGGAGTATGTGTGACTTGAGTGTTACAGATATTAGAAATTAAGATTAGAATAAAGGAACTCGTGTTTGCCCAGCTTATGATGACCAGGTGGCCCACAAGTATTCAGTGACCTGCCTGATGAAAATGCTATGACGTGAATTTACTGTGATTTGTTTTCAAATATAGCTTTTTCAATCTGTGACTAAATGACCCAACCAGCACATCTGTAGAGGAGGAAAAGTTTATTTGAGGGCCCACGGTTTCAGAGGTCTCAATCCACTGACAGCAGGCTCCATTCCTTGCTGAAGAGTGTGGAAAAGGGAAGCAGCTCATATGATGATCAGAAAGGGAGAGAGAGAGAGAGAGAGTAAGAGTGGAGAACAGAGGAGGAGGAGGAGGGGGTAGGGTGGGGAGAGAAGAGACTTGACTCACCAGATACAAATATATACCCCAAAGCCACTTCCAATGCCCCCACCTCCTCCAGCCACACCCCACCCGCCTCCAGTCACCGCTCAATTAATCCCATCAGACAGCAATTCCCTGATTGGGTTAAGACTCTCACAACCCAATAATTTCTCCTTTGAACTTTCTTGCATTGTCTCACACGTGAGCTTTTGCAGGGACACTTCACATCCAAACCATAATATTATTCAATAAATTCTGACATTGTGGAAAGACACCAAAGTGTTTCATTTATGTTAATGGCATAGCACACTCATGACAGTTACTGTTGTTTGAGTTTTTTCTTTTTTCTTTTTGTATTGGGGATTGAATCCAGAGCCACATCCCCAGCCCTTTTTACTTTTTATTTTGGGGCCAGGGTCTAAGTTGCTTAGGGCCTTTCTAAATTGCTGACTCTGGCTTTGAATGTGCAATCCTCCTGCCTCAGCCTCCTGAGTTGTTGGGATTTCAGGCATGTGCCACTGTCCCAAGTACATGTGGTTTGATTTAGAAGAAAAAGAACCATTAAAGGGGGTGAAGGCAAAGTCTTAGGTGAGAGGAGTGATTTGGATGTAGTGTGGTAAGGGTAGGGCTGTGTCTTGAAGAATCCCCTTAGGCAGGAGGAAGGAACTTTTCTCCTGAGGCTGAGAAGGAAGGTAACAGATGCAGTGGATATGACTTTTGAAGGGAGGAAGCTGAGCGAGAGTCTCTGAATGACTTCCATTTATTTTAAGTAGCTGGAGTGGGTGGGGGAGCAAACATGTCACAGCTCATTCACTGGGTACCCTGTTAGTCTCCTTGCTGCCTCTCTTCCCTCCACCCCCAACAGTTGTTTAACAACACAGAACATGGAATAATCAATAAATTCTTCTTGATTGATCTGGCACAAATTAAGCTTCTCTTCCCACTTAAAAAATTGTGAAATAAAAAAAGGGCTGGGGATATGGCTCAGTGGTTGAGCGCCCTTGGGTTCAATCCCCAGTAGCCACCCTCCCCACAAATTGTAATTCGGGATGATAGATGAAGGTACACGAAGAGCATCTGTTTCTTACAGGTTCTCACCCACTTACAGATAGAATGGTCTATCTCTAATTATAAAACATGCCTCAAAATGGACTGGGAAACTTTCTGAAGGTCAGAAGTAAAAAAGGTAGTGCTGTGTGCATGCACGTGTTCAAATGTACACAAGCACAAGAATAAATACATGTCTTGTCACTATGTGATAAAATCTTAGGAAACAAGCAATCCTCTTTCTAGACCTAGAGTGAGTTGATTTCTACCAAAGGGAAGAGGTCACACTCTTTTGAACTTGGAGCACACGGGTCTCCCCTTACAAAAGGACTCTAATCTCTTTTGTAATATGGCGTGTGTGTGTGTGTGTGTGTGTGTGTGTGGGTGTGTGTGTGTGTGTGTGTTTTCTTTTCTTAGGACACTTCCCATCTTTCACCCTCATAGACTTTAACCCCTTCCAGGACGGGGAGAATTCTGTGAGTTCACCATCTTTCTGTCTTTTGTAGTGACAACCACGAATCACCCTAGGAATGGAGAGTCAGTGCACACCTGGCACATAGTGAGTACCTGGGTAAATATATGTTGAATAAGTGAGTGAATGTTGAACTGAATTTGGTGATCACAAGAGTTAGCAGAACTACTAAATATTTATTTTTATTCTCAGCCAAAAATGGCTGTTACTCTGAGTCCAGACCTAACGTTTGCGATTGAGGAACAGCTGCAACCTTCCAAACACTAAGGACAGTGGCTTAACATCAGTCTGTCCTTTCCGGCGTTTCCCTTCCTCCCGTTCCTCAGTCGGTACACGGGCGAGGTCGGCGCGTTTTGTCCCTCGCGCCCTCCGTAGTTCTGGGCCGCGCGCGGCCTTTTCAAAGCGACGAGCGGTCAAAACGCAACGGCAGTTCCCGGTCCGGCCGAGGGGAGCGGCGCGGTGCGGACTGCAGAGCCACCTGCGCGTCTGCGCCGGTCCTTACCCCGTAAGCGCTGCTCGGCTGCCGGGTGGGCGCTTTCTTCCTCCACTTGGCTGCGTGAGCGCGCGGGGCGGCCGCGTTCCCGGGAAGGGCCGTGGGCGCGGCTGCTGCAGGGCGGCGGGTCTGCGGGGGCGCTCGGCGCCTGGGCCCGGACCCCGCGCGGGGAGCCCGGCTGACGACCGCAGGTGCCCGCACCCCGGCTGCCTCCCGCCCCCCACCTTCTCTTTTGCGTCTTTTCTCGTGACCGCCAGTTCCTCTCCCATTCCCTCCTCTCCCCCTCCTGCTGCCGCCCTCGGCTGAGCTTGGCGGGCGGTGCGCGGGCAGCCGTGCGGGGCCCACGGGAGCTGGCGTCCGGGCCAGCAGGCCTGTTGACGAGCGAGCCCCGTGGACTTCCCCGCACAGCTCCTTCAGAGCACCCCACGGACAACGGGTTCCCCGCAGCCCTGGTACCGCCGTTTCCTATGTGTCGCCCTCTAAAAGAGCCACAGTGGTTTTTTGGGGGGGTGGGATCGAACTCAGGGCACTCGAACCCTGAGCCCCATCCCCAGCCCAATTTTGTATTTTATTTAGAGACGGGGTCTCACTGAGTTGCTTAGGGCCTTGCTTTTGCTGAGGCTGGCTTTGAACTCGCGATCCTCCTGCCTCAGCCTCTGGAGCTGCTGGGATTAGTCAGACAACTGTGAATGGAAGAGACACAGTATATTTAGGTGCAAATAGCCTTAAGTACGGAAGGTGTGACTGAGTTCTCCTGTGTCTCTAGAAAATAATGAAATGTGAAATTATTTGTATTTAAATCAAGTGGTTTTTATTTGGCAGTGAGACTTCCCGGGTCACTCGACTTGCCTAGGGCCTGCACTGGTGGCCTTTTTTTACACTGATGTCCTGGGTGGTCTCACCTACTCGCTTGCCTTTAGTGCCACCTCTGTGCTGGTATCCCACAAATGTTTTGTCTTCAGCTATTGGATTCCAGGTATATATCCTATGTACACAAATATGTCCATATATTTCACATTTTCACCTAGTTGTCCAGTGTGGCATGTAAAGGTGAGCTTTTATTCTCTATTTCTGGTGCTCCTATTTTCTCCAGGTGCTCATTCGAGAAAATGGAGCCATTTTGGACTTATTTTTAACCGTAGTCTGCTCATCTGGAAATCAGGATATTTTCTGTGCGTGGGATCATCGTGTCCAAATATGTGGCCTTTTGTGTGCACTTTCTTTCACTTAGCATGATTGTTTTTAAATATTTTTTTTTAATATTAGATGGATACAATACCTTTATTTATTTTTATGTGGTGCTGAGGATTGAACTCAGTGCCTCACATGTGCAAGGTGCACGCTCTACCACTGAGCCACAAACCCAGCCCCAAGCATGATGTTTTTCAAGGTTCATTTATGTTGCATATGTCAGTGCTTTATTTGTTTTTATGACTGAGTAATATTCCTTTGTGTGCATATACCACATTTATATATTCATCATCTATGTGGCTATTATGAAGAATATTGTTTGCATAGACAGTTTTCCTGGATGGGATAACTGTTTACAACTTGGGACATGTAAGAGGAGGACATACTTTTTACCTTTTTGAACTAATGTTCTCTTTAATCAAGTGCATTATTAGTTTCTTTAATCAAGTTCTTATATTTTATGATTAACAAATACCCCCCCAACACACACACAATACCCATAGTGTGAACACAGGTAACAGCCGTACCTTTGGCTTTCAGTTTACTTATTGTAAATAAAATTGGACTAAATATTTGTTGAGGTCTTTTTTAGTTTTCAGACTTTATGTTCATATTATAAAATGAGTGATGTTACAGGAATTTTTCTACATCAATGAAAGTTGTACTCTTTGTGACTGCAGTGTAACATTATTTTTATCATAGGACCTAGAGAGGTTGTTACAATGGAAGGAACTGATAATTTCAAGACACCAAGCAAATTATCTGAAAAAAGGAAATCTGGTAAGATAGCAGATGTAATGAGATGTTTCTTCATTATTATTGCTACTAGAAATGTCTTAGTATTGTTTTAGTTTGTTCTTTTACTATCTTTCATATCTAGCATGTCTCTTTTATAATGTTAATAAGACTTATTTAATAGAACAGGGTTTGGTTATCTATGGACTAATTTATTAACATTCTAACAGCTATCGAGGTTTTGGCTGGTGAAGAATCCATTTAGCTTAAACCATTAAGGAATTGCTTTACCTTTCTCCCTTCCTTACATGTCCTTATGAGGAAAAGATATTTTCTAAGGTGATTCAATGGGCAGAGGGAAATCTTTTCAACAAACAATTGGGTCTCTATATGCAAATAATGAACCGTGACCCTTAACTCAACGTCATATTTAAAAATGGTTAAAATAAGCCTGGCATTGTAAAGCATACCTATAATTCAGCAACTCGGAGGCTAAGGCAGGAGGATTGCTAGTTTGAGGCTAGCCTCAGCAATTTAGTAAGACCTCCTGTCTCAAAATAAAAAGGACTAGTGATGTAGCTCAGTGGTAAATCATCCCTGGGTTCAATGCCAAGTACCAAAATTAAAAAAATAATAATAAGTAAATAAGATTAAAATCAACCAGAAACAGTGACACAAGCCTGTAATCCCAGCTAGTTGGGAGGCTGAGGCAGGAAGATTTGAGGCCAGCCTTGGCATTTCGCAATACCTTGTCTCAAAGTATAAAAAAGATTAGAGATATACCTCAGTGATAGAGTGCCCCTGGATTCAATCCCCAGTACTGAATTAACAAAAAAGTGTTAGTGGACATATCTGCCTTGCTTGCAATGCATTATATGTGGCAAATTACATTAATTTTCAATTGTTAAACCAGCATTTCATTCCTGGGGTAAAATCACTTTGGTTGAGATGTATTTTATCTATTACGTGACTTGATATGCTGATATTTGCTGTATTCATGCTCCTGCCTCAGCCTCCCAAGTAGTTGGGATTATAGGTGTGTGCAACTACTCCTAGTTCATAGGAAGATTTTAACTGATTTCACAATTAATATATATAGTGCTAGTCAACTAATCTGTTTTTTCCTTTATGAGCTTTATTAGTGTTTTTCAAGGTATTTGTTACTTCTAAATGGTCAGATTATTGGCATAAAGTTATTAGTGATATACTGATTACCCTTCTGCCCTTTTTGGTTTCTGATGCTGGTATTTTATATATTCTTTCTTTTTTGCCTTAATCAACTGGACTTGAGGTTCATCTATCTGGGTGAATGCTGCACCTGTTGCTGAATGCAGTGTTCCATTCAAGTCATTTAGGTCAATCTGGATGAACTGTTATGTTTTATTCAGGTCTTTTATATCCCTATTGATTTTTTTTCTGTATTTAGTCTTAATTACTGAGAGAGGAATATTGAAGTCTCCAACTACAGTTATGGATTTGTCTGTTTTCCCTCCCTTCAGTTCTATTTGTTTTTGCTTCATGTATTTTTAAGCTTTGTTGTTAAGTACACACATGTATTAATCAGGGTTCTCTAGAGGAGCAGAATCAACAGGAAGTATAATTCTAAAAGGGAGACTTATTAGGTTAGATTAAGTAACCAGAAGCTGGACAGTCCACAATGGCCATCTGCTGGAGAGCTGGAAGAACCAGTAGCTGTGCAGTCCAAGAGGCTGAAGCCTCAGACTGAGAGGGATCAATGGTGTTACCCTAGTTTGAGACCAAAGGCTTCCAGAGAATCACTGTCAGAGACTGCTTTGAAGAGTGAAGAAGCAAGAGTCCAATATCCTCTGATGATGGCAGCAGAAATCGAGAACCCATTCTAGAAGACTGGAGCTTGCATCTGCGCTGCTTCCTTGTTCTTCAAACTTTATTTCATCCAAGCCATCATCTTATTGGTCAGTGCTGCCCACACTTAAGGCAGGGTCTCCATTTCATTGGCTATTATGAAATGCCTTTCTTTATCCTAGGTGATACTCTGTTTTGAAGCCCATTTTATGTGATAATAACAGAGCCATCCAGCTTTATTTTGATTATTGTTTGAATGGTATATGTTTTCCAACCTTTTATTTGTGTTTTTATATTTAAAAGTGAGTTTATTATAAATATTATATAGTTTTGTTTTTATCCATTCTGACAACTTTCACCCTTAGTTAGACAATTTCACCACTAGCCACATGGGGCCATTTAAAATTTGGATTCAGATTAATCATAATTAAATAAAATCACCAATTTAGTTTCTCATTTATATTAGCCACACTCTTTAGTGCTAAGTAACCACATTTGGGTAGCGACTTCTGTACTGAACAGCATAAATACAGAATATTTTTCTTGTGGCAGGGTTTATTGGATAATACTGTTTAGACCATTTATACTTAATAAATTATGGAACTTAAATCTATTTTGCTATTGCTCCATTGCCACAGTCCGGCTGCAGCAAAATAACCGGGTGTGTGTGTGTGTGTGTGTGTGTGTGTGTGACAAAGAACTTGTGTAGATTGATACAGCAGGAGTGGGAGCCGTTTATTGTAGGGCAGGAGGGGTATATATACATTCCATACAACTTATCTTAATTAACATAAACTAGATACAGCAGTCAACCAATAAGGAATCTCCACACTTAATGGCTCGCTGGCGTTACTTCTCAAACCACTCCCTCTGGCAAAATGCCAGGCGCCATCCTGACTTGTTTACAGACTAACACTCCATAGCTCACTGATTTTTTTGCTCTCCTCTGCTTCATTTTTGGTAGTGTTTGTTGCTGTATCTTGAGTTTCTGTTCACCTTTCTTAGACTCTAAGGTGGTTATTCTTATCTCTTACATTTTTCATTCTTTTGAGTTTTCTTTACATCATTAAGTGCATTTTTAACATATGTTTTAAGATTTCTTGTCATTAATTCCACAATCCCTGTCATTTGATGGTATGTTTTTATTAGTTTATTTTTCCCCTGGTATGGGACATATTTTGGGGACATATTTTCCTGCCTCTTTCATGGCTGGTAATTTTTTTATATTTCACATCTTTTAGTGCTGGACTTTCTTATTCTTTTAGACTGTTTGATTTCATTAAGGCCTAAAGTTAACTCACCTGCGTGTTAGTCTGTTCCTTTTGAGACTTGCTTTTAAGTTTTTTAATAGATTTTTCTTGTTGGGCTAAAAGGTAGCTGTGCTACCAAGTTGTGACTAGAGTTACTACATTCTGATTTATGGTAAAGTGAATTCATTCCTAGACTTGTGGGATTTCTAGTAATTAGTCAGTTCTTTCCTGGCTTTCCATATGTAACTACCCATTGTGTTTGCAGATGAGCACTTAGCCAAGTACTCACTGGGAGATCTTGCCAGATCTTCAGAGCACTCTTTCTCTAGCTCCTTCCATTTTGGTTCTCTGCTCTACAAATTCTAGTCACCTAGGTCTCTTTGATCTCTATCTCCATAGTTTTACAAGACTGCCAGGCTGTGTTTCCTTTATGTTGCAGCCTGGAAACTGCCTTTATGCATAAAATCAGGGCAGTTATATAGGGCTCCCTTCATTTCTTTCTCTTCCCTCAGAGAACGCAGACCTACTCTGCCTGTCGTCATGTGTAAAATCCATTGTATTGTGTCAGGTGTTCTGTTGTTCATGATGAGATGGTCATTTCAAGAGCAGTAATTGTTCATGAGCAGAAGTAGAACTCCTTTATCACATCTTTTTAAAGACAATAATGCTCTGGAATGTATATTGTAATTAGGCTTCTGATGGTGATCACTGAGGGTTGTGTTTTTTTTTTTTTTCTGAGTTCAAGGCCAGCCATAACAACTCATGAGACCCCACGTCAAAATAAAACAAAAAGGGCTAGGGATATAGCTCAGTGGTGGAGCATCCTTGGGTTCAATCCTCAGTGCAAAAAAAAAAAAAAAAAAAAAAAGCAGCAAACACCAATATTCAAATATATATATTTATATTTCATTTATTTCTCTTCTCTCAGAGGGCAGTTAGTACATAGTTTAGACTTGGAGGGCCACACACGTGAACTCTGTTGTATATTCTTTATTTTTTTAACAACCCTTTAAAAATTTGGAAAAAATTCTTAGTCTGTGGGCCATAGAAACACAAGACAATTTACTGACGTCTGCTTCAGGGTTAATGTAGGCATGGTTAAAGGGTATCCATTTAAGATTAGGATAGATAACTATAATTGCTCTCCAAAAAGATTATGCCAATTAATAGTCTTAATGACAATATTTTTAGACTATTAGGATGCTTTTATTAGCTTTTTCACAAACTAATTCTATTTTTGTTTCTTTTTCCAACATTTAGTGTTATGTCCAACTCCGTATGTAACTATCCCTGCCTCTCCATTTATGCAGAAGCTTGGCTTTGGGACTGGGGTAAATGTTTACCTAATGAAGAGGTGAGTATAAAATTTCAGGTTAACCGTTTTATATGGAACTCAGAAACAAAAAAGGAATATGAAAAGTCAAATATGTGGCTTTAGGGTATGTTTCTTATCCTGTCTGACTGCTGTATCCCAGTCCCTAGAATGCAATAACTTCCAGATCTTGCCTGGTATACTTTTCTTGTAGCCTACTCCTGATGAATTACTTAAGAGGAAGTAGTTTACCTTTTAATTTTTCCTTGGCTTCTATAAGAAGGGGAAGTGACAGAGGAAAGGTTTCCTTTGTAGTATTAACATAAGATTTTCAATAAGTAAACCTCAAAGAGGAAGCCATTGCTTGAAAATGATAGTGACTAATAACTTCCTCTATCTGGTGAGTTGCCTTCTCAGGATCTTTCCTTCTAAAAGAAGTCAAAAGGGCTTTGTTTCTTATGGCGTTGTTATTAAGAGGAGGAAATACATGATTTTAAAGTGTAGGAAATTGTGTTAGAAACGAAGTAATTGAATAAGTATGGTGCTAATTATCAATAATATAGATGTCAACAGTTTTGTGTGTATGTGTGTTACTGGGGATTGAAACCCACAGGGTGCTGTACCACATACATCCCCAGCATTTTTTTCTTTTCTTTTTTTTTTAATTTTGAGGCAGGATCTCACTAAGTTGCCTAGGCAGATATTGAACTTGTGATCCTCCTGCCTCAGCCTCCTCATTTGCTGGGATTACAGGCACTGGTGATGGTTTGTTTTCTAAAATTATTTCTTTTAATCATTACTCTTTACTTAATTTCATGTCTGTTAAGTAGCAGAATACTCAGTTAGTATGTATTCCTTAATGAATTCTTGGAATCGGCCTGATTAGTCCAATCTTTCTTAGGATATCTTAGCTTCATTTACCTAGATTTGTATTGTTTCCAAACAGAAATGCTTTCTAAAATAAGAAGCTAATGAATTAAGAATATTCTAGCAATTATGTACAGTGGAGTATTCCTGAAGCATTTCTTGTTTGGAAATAATTTTCCTCCAGTATTTTGAGAATATCTATCACCACCATTGTATTTTAGTTTACAGTGTTACTGTTGAGAATTGTGAAGCCCTTCTGATTGCTCATTCCTTTTCATGTAATCTGTTTTATGTTATCTGTCTCTCCCACTCTCCAGATCTTTTTTTAAATTTTTTTTAGATGTTGATGAACCTTTATTTTATTCACTTATTTTTATGAGTTGCTGAGAACCAAACCCAGTGCCTCATACATGCTAGACAAGCACTCTACCACTGACCCACAACCCCAGCCCCCACTCTCCAGATCTTTGTATGATCTGATGGTTGCCAGTGTTCTGAAATTTGACAAATTACATGTCTGGGTGTGCCCCGCTTGGAATCTGATAGTTACTGTTCTTAAATATTTTAAATTAAAAAAATTACTTTGTTGATGATTTCCAACTTGTTTTTCACTCTTCTCTACCTCAAATCCTTTTATTTGGATATTGAACTTACTGGACTGATTTCTAACCTACTTCTTTTTTTTTTTTTTTTAATCTGGTTATCCTGTCTTTTTGCTGTTTTCTGGGATATTTCCCCAACTTTATCTTCCAAGGTTTCAGTTGAGTTTTTCATTTTTTAAATCTTGATTTTAATTATCTTTCTTAAAAATAACATCCAAGTATTTTGAGGTTGTAGATGTGTTCTGTATCTTGGATATCGATAACAGATGTATACACATGTAAAAACTCACTGAGCACTTAGTATGCCTGTGTTATTAGTTATTACTCTGTTCCTACCTGAGTCTCATGTTTTCAACTGCTAGTAAACCAAAGGCTAAAGACCCTCTGTTTTACCTCCTCCCAAAGCAGGTCTCTAGAAGTAGGGGCTGGGGACTGCCCAGTGGGACGGAATTGGGACTGGTGTATAGGAATCCCCCTGCTTTGTACATCATGTTTCAAGCTCTTCACTAGGTCTTTTGAGTCAGTTACTTTCATCTGCTTTCTAGCTTCTGAAATTGAGTTGCTCTGGTCTCCTCTTCTGTTATTTCCATTCTTGTAAGTGGGTATGTCTTAAAACAGCTATTTGCCATATATTTATTTGTTGGTACTGGGGATTGAACCCAGAGATGCTTAACCACTGAGCCTCATCCCCAGCCCTTTTTATTTTGAGAAAGGGTCTTGCTTAGGGCCTCACTATATTGCTGAGACTGGCCTTAAACTTGTGATCCTCCTGCCTCAGCCTCCAGAGTCACTGGGATTACAGACTCACTTTTTTACCACATGGTACCATGTGGTACCATCCCTGGCATATACATATGTGTGTAAGCTATTATTTTAATCAAGAAGTTTATATTTTTAAATGTGAAATCAAGTTTGAATTCCTGAACTACCCAATGTATTTTGATTATTATTAAATAAATTGATAGATTTTTAATATTTCCTAGGAATTTTTGTTCTATAAGTATATATAAGTGAAATTGGTTGTGATTTTCCTTTTTCTGCTCTCTCTTTTTGATTTTTTTAAAAGGGGAGTTATATTAGAGTCCCTTTACTTTTCATTTTCTGGGGAATAGTTTGTATGAGCTTGAACGGCAGATTTCTTGAGAGTTTAGTAAATTCACTTATAGAATCATCTGTGCTTCATATTTCTCGTAGAAAGATTTTAAGCTACTGAGTAATTTTTTTCTTTAATCAGTTTTCTTAGATTTTTCTAGTAACATCCATTTTGTCTTAAGTTATTGGCAAAAAGTTTTAGTATTTACTTTAAAAATTTTCTACTATACCTGTAGTCATGTCCCCATTTTTATTTGAAATATTATTTATGCTACCTTTTGTTTTCCTTGCATAATCTCATCAGAAATTTGTCAGTTTTATTATTCTTAATGAATCAACTTTTAGCATAGCCAAGTATTTATTCAGATTTTATAAATCTGTTCTTGTTATTCTGTAGATCAGAGTAGGTATGGAAAAGGAGAGGATGGACTTTCTCTCTAGAGTCTAAACATTCAAGAGCTATGAGGGTAACACTGAAACTTGAGAAATAGCTTTTTTTTTTTTTTTACAATAAAATGATATGGAAAAGGTTTCCCCTCAAATGCTGCTGTTATTTAAAACTAAGTTTAGCTGAGCATGGTGGCACATCCCTGCATTCCCAGTGGTTTGGGAGGCCAAGGCAGGAGGATTGCAAGTTCAAAGCCAGCCTCAGCAACTTAACAAGGCCCTAAGCAACTCAGTGAGACCTTGTCTCTAAATAAAATATAAAAGGGCTGGGAATGTGGCTCAGTGGTAAAGTGTCCCTGGGTTCATTCCCTGGTACCAAAACAAAAGAAAACAAAAACAAATGAACAAAAACCCCCAAAACCTGGAAGTTTAAAAACAATTTAGATAAACTTATGGATAATAGATATATATGAATTAAGAAATATTATGATTCTTTTGAGTACAGGATTTTCCATTGAACAAAGTTCTGCAAAGCAGTGCTATGCCTGTGAGAGAGTACAAAGCTAACTATATCTTTGGTTCAGTCTACATCTTTTTTCAGTACTGGGGATGGAACCAGGGCCCTTCTACCTGTGCTATTTCCCAGGCCCTTTTTATTTTTTGAGACAGGGTCTTGGTAAGTTGCCCAGGCTGGCCTGGAGCTTGGGCATCACCTGTTTCAGCCTCCTGATAAACTGTGATCACAGGTGTAATAGTGTAAATATACTTGGGCCTATTCACAAACTTCAATGTTTGGCTACATACCCTCCCCTTTGCTGAGGATCGAACCCAGGGCCTCACACATGCTAGGTGAGCACTCTACCGCTGAGCCACAACCCCAGCCCCCCACGTATTTTTGTTTAACTTCTCTTCTTTAAGTTAAATTTCTTAAGGTTTAATATTTATTATGTTATCATTCTGTAACTCATCTCTGATTCATATGTTTAATAAGCATTTGGTTATATGACATGCTAGAAGAGAAAAAATAGAAAATAGTAGTTTCCAATTTTAAAATGTGTGTGTGTATACATATATTTTGTTATTATTGGTACCAGGAATGAACTCAGGGGCACTCTACCACTGAGCCACATCCCCAGCTCTTTCTAGTTTTTATTTGAGACAAGGTCTCACTAAGTTGCTTTGGCCCTTGCTAAATTGCTGAAGCTGGCCTTGAACTTGTGGTCCTCCCAAGGATCCTCCCAGATTGCTGGGTTACAGACTTATGTCCATCTTAAAAATTTATAATTTTAGATAGTTTATAACAGTCTCTCCTTTTTTTATTCCATCTCTGTTGTTCCATCAACAGATTTCTCTCATCTTCTCATATGTTCTAGTTGCAAGAGAAATGTAGCAGAGGTGTTGATAGTCTAAAATATTTTAAATATTTTTTTAAATATTTATTTTTTTAGTTATAGGTGGACACAATATCTTTATTTTATTTTTATGTGATGCTGAGGATCGAACCCAGTTCCTCACACATGGGAGGTGAACACTCTCCCTCTGAACTACAGTCCCAGTCCCTTAAATATTTTTTAAAAACAATTACTGTCAAGTCTTTCAAAATTTAATATTTGAAAATGTATTGTGGGTCTTTATTCATTCTAATACTATTTTTTATTAATATATACATACATATATATTTACTTACTTATTTTAGATCTCCAAGAGGTTTGTCTCATTCTCCTTGGGCTGTAAAAAAGATTAATCCCATCTGTAGTGATGATTATCGGAGTATATATCAAAAGAGACTAATTGATGAGGCTAAGATTTTGAAAAGCCTTCATCATCCAAACATTGTAGGTAAGTTTTAAATTTGTTACCAGTTACGTGGAATATTATTATTCTTTATATCCAGAAATAGTATAAATACTTTAACTGGTTTCACTAATCAAAATGAAGAGAATGGGGCTGAAGGTTGTCAGGAATCAAATTAATGTGGACAGTCTAAAAAAAAAAAATTCTACCCTAATGCAGCGGCACATGCCTGTGGAACTCTGGAGGCTGAGGCAGGAGGATTATATATTCAAGGCCAGCCTTGGTAACTTAGGGAGATCTTGTCTTAAAATAAAAAGGGCTGGAGATGTAGCTTAGTGGTAGAGAAACCCTGGATTGAAGGGAAAAAAAAAATCTCATAAAAATCTTTTAAGTATATATTTAAACTTCGTGGGGATGTAGTCATTATGGTGCTGTCCTTTTAAAATGATCTTCATTTAATGGTAAAATCATTTTATTCAGGGAGGTACAGAATATAAAAAAAAAATTTTAATTTGTGTTACTAGTGGCGACCACTGAAGGCATTTAAAATTTGGTCTACTGAATTAGTTTTGTAAATAATAGCTGTTTCATCGTATATTTGTTAGTATTAGTCCAGATTCATGCTTTCAATCACAGTGCTGTAAAAAAGACATGTTCTGTTTTCTTGAGGTTATCGTGCTTTTACTGAAGCCAGTGATGGCAGTCTGTGCCTTGCTATGGAGTATGGAGGTGAAAAGTCTCTAAATGATTTAATAGAGGAGCGAAATAAAGACAGCCAGCATGCCTTTCCAGCAGCTGTAATTTTAAAAGTTGCTTTGAACATGGCAAAAGGGCTAAAGGTAACTATATTTTTGTGGACTATGAAAATACTAAATACTTGTTATACATAATTACAATTTTTTTTTCTTCAAAGGAGGGAGTTAATCCTTAAGTCTGAATAGAGTCTCATATTGCAGAATGTACCATTTCTTTATTTTGATTAGGAAAGTATTGTTTAGGGCCCCCACATATGCCTGAAATAATCTAAGACCAGGTAGTTTTGCAATAGCGATTACATGTTAGACTTAGTTAACACAAATTTAGTAATTATTCCTGGGGGCATAGCCTTAACCCCTGTTGATATAAGCAAACCCCCTATGGATTACTTTGTGTGATGTTAAGTTTTAGGTATCATGGGTATACACATATAGGTTCAATGAAGAAAACTCTTCAGTGTTATGCAAAGAAATTATTGTAATTTTGGATAAATCATTTACACAGAAGTAACATTGGCTCCAAAAAACTATTGGGTGACTCAAAATTGGATCAGGTAATGATGATACTGATGCCAAAGTTGCATGTTAAAAATTCAAATGAAATTGATAAAACAGATTAGGAAAAAAAAGCAATGTTCCTAAATATTCTAATATTTTTATAAAGAAACTAATTTCAAATAGAATAAATTTAAAAATCTGAATTGTTTAGTAATATTTTTGATGTGTATGAATAATGAAATTAATAGTGTAAATATACTTGGGCCTATTCACTCTATGATGGATTGCATTTAAATTAAGTATGTAAACGTACCTGTGTAAAGAGCAGATCTACACCAAGAACAGTTGTGGGACACCACCCATGAATTAATTATTTGAGTTTATTTGAGGTCTTCACTGGCCTTTAGCCATTAGGTTTTACTTTGCAAACTATTTTGTGGCTCCTCCCACTCAATGGATTGCACAATGGACATGACCTCTATTTTCCTCCACTAGGGAGACTGCTTTTGTAGCTCCAGAGTAGGGTGTAACCTGTTGGAAACTGGACAGCCCACCTCCTACCTTATTTGGCAAAGAACATCCCATAGAAAACCGTTGATGCTTTCCCCTGTATAAATAAAGCACATGTGGGCTCTCTCACTCTTTCCAGTGTGGAAGCTTGATCGCTAGGATGGGAGAGCCACCTGCTACCCCACCTTTCTAAAATTACTTCCTGTGTCCTGTGGTTTCTTTGCTGTTTCTTTCTTAGCTTTATTTTGCAGCCAGCTGATTACACACAGAAGAAACCCAAATTCCACCACCCCTGTAGGACGTGGGCAAGAAACGGTCTCATTTCTAAGCTGGGCTCAGAGAGAAATGTTCAAATACTGATGAATGAACAAATAGCCATTTTGCAGGTCATTTTACAGTGTATTATTATTACTTGTCAAGTACAAAAAAGAGTTAATAAAACAAAATGTAGTGCATTTGCTTCCACTTCTGCTTCTGAATTATGTGGCCCTAAGTCACTTCTTCATTAACTCAGTAATTTGAGGGAGACACAGTGGTGTAGTCTTGGCTAACCAGGAAGCTAAGACAGCCTCAGTAACTTAGACCCTGTCTCGTCTCAAAATTAAAATATTTTTAAAAAGGGCTGGGGATTTAGTTTGGTGGTAAAGCACTCCTAAGTTAATCCCCAGTACTGAAAAAACAAACAAAAAACAATTTGAGGAAGATTTGTGGAAGATTCCAAAATCATTTCCAAAATACTAGCCTCAAGTAAAATTGAAGTTGGAAAACTGCAGTAGCGCCTTCTCATATGTAAATACATAGGATGGGTTTGAAAATACAAAGAAGTTAACATATACTTAGACATCTATCTTTAAGAAATCTTTCAGATTTATCAGAGATTTTCCCTTCTCTGGCTTCAAATAATTTGAAATTATGGTTGAATAAGTTTATAGTTTAGGAAGGGAATTCAAGTCACTGAACTTCAATTTTATTTGAAGGTTTTTTTTTTTTAATTTGTTTTCTTGTGGTGCTGAGGATTGAACCCATGACTTTGTGAATGCTAGGCAAGTGTTCTACCACTGAGCTACATCTCCAGTCCTGAAGGTTACATATGTCGATTAAGTTGTACTTCTGCTCACGGGTGTTGATTTTTTACAATTTTAGTATTTACACCAAGAAAAGAAACTGCTTCATGGAGATATAAAGTCTTCAAATGTTGTAATTAAAGGTGATTTTGAAACAATTAAAATCTGTGATGTAGGGGTCTCTCTACCATTGGATGAAAATATGACTGGTAAGTAATACTGTTTTAAATTTTTGTTTTTATACAACTTCAAAATTCCTGATTTTTATATGTAAAAATACATAGTAAATTCACATGCTTCAAAGATTTAAAACAAATTTTGAAAAATATATAATAAAAAGTATCCCTACTTTTCTATCTCACTTTGACTTAGCCTCCAGGCCCTCCTATGCCACATATGTTATTAGCTTTACTATTAGCTTATGTTTTAACTGAAGATAGGCTTGGGAAAGATTTCTAATATGGATTGAGATTTTTAAGATATAAAACATCTTGGAATGGAAAATAAAATTTTTTAACAAGATTTTTGAAAGGGACTCACTTAATTTCAATAATGTGATGAAATTTGGGAAACTGCTCGAAGAAACTGGAGTAGAACTAGGAAAGAGGAATGTTAGTAAAAATCAGTCTTCTGCTTTTTGCTTTTTGGCCCAGCCCAACCCAGTCTTCCCTCTGCATTATAAATACTGATCATTCTCAGAAATTTAAGATATGTTCTTGGTGAGAACCAAGAGCCAGCCTTAAGAAAGGGCCTTTTTTTTTTAATATATGAATATAAGTTAAAAGGATGGCCCATGACTGCTTTTATGGGTCATATGTAAACCTTAATTTTTAGCAGAAATAAAAGTTTACGGGCGGGGGTGGGTAGGAATGATGGTGGAATGAGATGAACATCATTACCCTAGGTACATGTATGACTGCACATGTGGTGCAACTCTACATTGTGTACAACCAGTGAAATGAAAAGTTATGCTCCATTTGTGTATAATGAATCAAAATGCATCTGCTATCATGTATAAGTAATTAGAATAAAACAAGTTTACAAATTGAATTGAGGGCAAAAGCCAGAATAAATAGTGATTATAATGATATCTATAATTAATAAAAATAGAATTGTCCTGTATCCTTATGCTAAATAACTACAACAAAGTCAAAACTTTGGGGAAAAACAGAAATTCTTGAAAGATAATAAAAATGAGATTTTCTTAATGTCATTTTCTCAAAACTTAATAATCAAGTAGACAAAACTAAGTAAGGAATCTGAATAATATGATTAAACTCTTTGTATTAGTATATTTATTAAAAATTCCAGATGGCGCACACCTATAATCCTAGCAATGCCTCTAATCCCAGCAATTCAGGAGAATGAGGCAAGTTCTAGGGCAGCCTCAGCAACTTGGTGAGACACTGTCTCAACACATAGTAAGGGCTGGGGGTGGAGCTCAGTGAAAGAGCACCCACACCTAGGTTCAGTCCTTACTACAGGGGTAGGGGGAAATTAATATTAAAATTGGCCATGTATTTTTAGGTCACAAAAGAAAACTTCAGATTATAAAAGTAGTGTAGTAGTTGGCATGTGTTGATGTCAGTGCTGTAAATCTAGAAATATGTAGCAAAATTGGAAATAAAAACTCCTAATTTTTTTTTTATAAATTTAAAACACTTGTAAATAATTTTTGGCTGAAAGGAAAAAATCAAATTCCAGTTAGAAAATATTCAAAAAATACAAATTTACAACAAATCAAAACCTAGTTAATATAGTTAAAACTATTCAAAGGAAAACTTTTTCATTATTTAACTTTTATGAAATTGAGTTATACTTAAAAAAAAAAACACCCTAGGGCGGGGCTATAGCTCAGTGGTAGAGCTCTTGCCTCGAATGTGTGAGGCACTGGGTTCGATCCTCAGCACCACATTAAAAAAAAAAGATATTGTGTCCATCTACAACTAAAAAAATATTTTTTAAAAATGAAACCCTAAGAGGGGCTGGGTTGTGGCTCAGTGGTAAAGCACTTGGCCTCGAAAGTGTGAGGCATTGGGTTCGATCTCGGCACCACATAAAAATAAACAAAAAAATGAAACCCTAAGAAAAGCGGAAAACAGCAATGAATAGAAAATTTATAAGTTTTACAAAATTAATTTAGAAACCACTCATTCCAAAAAACCAAATGCCAAATGTTTTCTCTTATATAAGGAGGCTGATTCATAGTTGGGAGGGAGAACATGGGAGGAATAGATGAACCCTAGATAGGGCAGAGGGGTGGGAAGGGAAGGGAAGGGGCAGGGGGTTAGAAATGATGGTGGAATGTGATGGACATCATTATCCAAAGTACATTTATGAAGACATGAATTGGTGTGAATATACTATGTATACAACCAGAGATATGAAAAATTTTGCTCTATATATGTAATATGAATTGTAATGCATTCTGTCATATATAAATAAAAATTTAGAAACCACTAAGATGTATTTGGAAATTTAACAACAAAAATTTAACCTATGGGCCAAAGAAAACAATAAGGGAAATTGGAGAGTATTTTGAATGAAATAATAAGGAAATACAACATTAAAATATGTGAGGGAAAGCTAAAGCAAGGCCTAGAGGGAAATCTGTAGCTATTAGTGACTATAGTTAAAAAAAAAAAAAAAAAAAAAAAAAGTTCTAAATGAATCACCTGTATTCACTTGCAAGCTAGAAAAGAGCAAGACAGATCCAAAGGAGACCAGAGAAAGGGAATAAGAAATATATGAATAGAAATCAGAAGAAAAAATAAACACTAGAAAATATTAGTAAAGCCTAAAGCTGGTTCATAGAAAAGATAATAAAAGTTATAAGTCCCTATAGACTGATCCGGAAAAAAAAGAAAACAATGTCAGGAATGCAAAAGAAATACAGCTGTAGATTCTACACATATATAAAGAATAAGATAGTTTATACCACTAAATTGGATAACTTAAAATGAAAAGGATAATTGCCTTAAAAATATAATTACAAAAATTGATATAGGAAGAAAATAGGGAATCTAAATAGCCTTACATCTATTAAAGAAACATTCCCACAAGGAAAACTCAAGAGCTAAATGTTTCTACTGTTGATTTCTTTTGAACATTAGAGAAATCTATAAAACCATTAGAAAAAGTAAAGTTAGCTATTATATTTCTGTATATTATCAATAAATAATAAAAATTCCATTTTTAAGTGTCAAAACTCAAAAAATATTCAAGAATTAATCTAACAAGTCTAAGGTCTCTATATTGAAAACCACAAAGCATCACTGAGAGAATTAAGTAATATATATAACTAAATGGAGAAATAGTGCGATTATAGACTGGAAAACTCAATACTGTTGAGATGTTAATTCTTCCCAAATTGACGTAGAGATTCAGTCTATTCCCAGTCAGAATTATAGATGAAATTGATGAATTGACTCTAAAATTTAAATAGAAATGTGAGTGGACCTGTGTCATTCCTAAGCAGAGCCAGTGTATGATTTGACCCTTTCCTGATTTTCTGACTTAGCAATCATGAAAGCATTGAAATGAAATTTCATCCTCCGTTCTATGACAGCAAGTTCACAAAACGAAGAACCTGAGGCCCATTAGGTATCTGCCCAAGGCTGACAGCTTGCATGTATTTGAATTCTGATGAGGCCGTCTTGCTCTAGAGTATGAAATCTTGTTATCCACAATCTATTTATATTCCTACTATTTTCTAAGAGAATTGTTTCCCTATGTCTTGACAACTGATCGCCTTTTGAAATTTAACATTCTGATACAGGGAAAGTACCTTATCAATGAAGTTGAATGTGTTTTCATGTCTGCTGGATATGATTAGCCTGTGAACCATTTGCCCATTTTTATTGTGTAGCTTTTCTTCTTAGGGATTTCTAATGCTGCCCTCATAATTTTATTTGCATTTTGCTTATTTCAGTGACTGATCCTGAGGCCTGTTACATTGGTACTGAGCCATGGAAGCCCAAGGAAGCTTTAGAGGAAAATGGCATTATTACTGATAAGGCAGACATATTTGCATATGGCCTTACTCTGTGGGAAATGATGACTTTATCTATTCCACACTTTAATTTTGATGATGATGATGATGATGAAGGTACAGTTTTGTTTTATTATTATTGTGTTGTTTTCAGTTCTAGGAATCCAACCTAAGGCCTTGCACATGCTAGGTAAATGCTCTACCACTGAACTACACCCCCAGACCAGTGGTATGAATAGAACATAAATCAATGTCTTTGCTTCACATTGAAGATTTGCTTATACATTTATATATTTACATTAAGATAAAATTCTTAAAAAGCAAGATGTTTGACTTAGTAGATAGTTTGTAACGTACATAGTATATTAATACTAGTGATTAATTTGGTTATGTTTAATGTCACATAATTGAGATTTAGATTGATCGAAAATAGGGAAATAAATTTAGGTCTAGGAAGGGGAAAATGGCTCACACCTATAATCCCAGCAGCTCTGGAATCTGAGACAATCGTAAGTTCAAAGCCAGCCTCATCAATGTCTCTAAAATAGGACTCACTCAGAGGTTGAGAGCCCCCGAGTTAAATCTAGAGAAACAAAGTTACCTTAAAAACTCCCCTTGAGAAAAAAATACTGAAAAGTTATCATAGGAGGAATATGGGTTGGTAGCCTAAAAATCTAAGACAATAGTAATCTACTCAATGGCATATTGACTGAAGAGATTGCCTGTGGTATAATGGACACTATATTGGATAAGTTCTTACTTCAAGAAGGTAAGCTATTAAGCTTTTCCATGACCTCAAATGGTTTAGCTTATTTCAACCTCTAATTTCTTTGTGAGCAGATAAAACTTTTGATGAAGATGACTTCAATGATGAGGCATATTATGCAGCTTTGGGAACCAGGCCACCTATTAATATGGAAGAACTTGATGAATCCTACCAGAAAGTAATTGAACTCTTCTCTGTATGCACTAATGAAGATCCTAAAGATCGTCCCTCTGCCGCACACATTGTTGAAGCTTTAGAACTAGATGGCCAGTGATCATGTCATGACCACCTCACCATGTATGGTTTGTGTAACTGTTCTGTTTATTTGGATACATTTATATAGTTACTATGATGATCTACAGTTACTAGTCTCTGAAAGAGGCCTATTGTAGGACCATAGTATTGTTAACATTTGAATTACTTCTTAAGGCTATATTTTATATTTGCATGATAAGCACTCAGTATTATACTGGATTTTCTGTGAAGTTTAAAAAACTAGCTCTGCAGGCCCTTAAATGTTGCTCATATAGAGTTAAAACACTAACTATAAATGTTGTAAACTGTCTAATATTAATTTGAATTGAATGACCATAACTTTTACTAATGATCGTTCTTACATATTTTCTTTTTATGGATCTATTAAAATTAGCACTTTATGCAGTGCAAAAGCCTGCATTTGCTTCTGTTTTTTGGCTGATGTACTTATAAATGGTCACTAGAACTTGAAGAAAAAAATGACTCAGTAGAATAGCTCCTTGGGTAATTTGATTCTTTGGCTTGTATTTTCTGTACTGATCCCTTTTTTAGTTTTTATTTATTAATCTATACTGCATTTCAAGGTTGTGTAAAAATAATAGAACTCAAGTAAGACAATACAAAATAAAAGATAATTTTCATACTGAATAGTCTCAGCATTATCTTACTTTATACTCTAGTTGATTTGAGTGTTGTTGTTAAACTTTTTGAGTGAATGCAAGTATATTTCTTTCCCTTTCTTGACCTTATTTTGTTAATCTGTAAAACAAAGTTGATTTGTATCAGTAGTTTCTATCTGCCACAACCTTGGAATTTTCAAAATTACTGAATTGTAATTGTGAATCTAGTTGTTGTACTCACACTTGGCTATAATGTTAAAAATTAAAGTGCCAAGAAAGCAAATCGAAAAGTTAATTAAGAAATCTAATCTATAATTTTGTATCCTGACACTCAATAGTGTTACCATCCTCATTCTGACTTGTATATTGTGTCATTCTTTGCTAAATTAACAAAGTGCCCATTCTCAATAGGAGGACTAGCAGTTCCTGTTTATAAGCCATAAAGCATTAAGTGGATTAAAAAAGAAAAAACAAATTGATACTTTTCATTGAAAAGTTCCAGTTCCTAGAATTGGAACAAAATAATCCAGCATGCTTCCCCCCTTTAGTTTGGGTAAATCAACACAGGATTATAGCAATTTGCTACCAACTTCAAGAAAATGGTTTTTATTCTTATTCTAGAACTATGTCTCAGATGTAAACTTATTTTGTTTATATGCCCTCATTTTCAAGAGCAACCTGTGACTGGGTCGACACAGCAGGACTTTTTGCTGAATAACTTAGCAAATTAAAACAGGTGGCTTTCTCACCTCCTAGAGAACCTTTGCCTTTACTACCAGTATAAGGCCTCTGGAAGTCTGTTTGCATCTGTAAAATGGAGATAATTAGCAGCTGCCTAGAAAATGTTAATTTTTCTTTCATGTCTCCTGGTTCCTTTTTGACCTGTAATTTGTTTATCAGAATAAAAATAACAAAAGGATCTTTAATTGAAGATACTATATGTAAAAACTTGGGTTCAGGAAAAAAAAAGTGCTTATAGCCTTAAATGCTATATTAAAAAGGCTAGAAACTCAGTGAGCCAAGTACATAGGATAAACAAAACAGCCTCCTATTCTAGATTGCTGTAACAAACTATCATAAGCTAGGTGGCTTACAAAGAAACTTCTTGGACTTTGGATAGAGCTCACTAGTACAGCATTTATTTAGTGTGCTTGAGACCCTGGGTTAGGTTCCTGATACTGCAAAACAAATTTCAATTCTGGAAACTGGAAAGTCCCAACATCAAGGTGGTATCTTAGTGAGGATCCATTTCCTCATAGATGGCATCTCTGGTCCTCAAATAGTAGAAATGGGCAAGGCAACTCCCTAAAGCTTCCTTTGTAAAGGCACTAATCCCACTCAGGTCTTCATCCTAATGAGCTAATCACACCCCTGCCAAGCCCCACATCTTAATATCTATCACCTTGGGGATTACAACTTCAACATGTGAATTTTCAGAGGGCACATTCAGCATCTATCTCCCTCCCATTAGGAAAAGAAATTAACCAAAATGTATAAAACAATCTATCATACGTAGAAAACTTAAAACAAGCCTAATAGAAGCAATACCAAGTTGAGTGTTTAAAAATACGAATAAAATTGATAAACTATAGCAAGACTCATCTAGAAAGGAAAAAAAACACATATAATGAATGAGAAAAAGGAAACTGCAGAGCCTACAAAGATTCTCATTCATGAACACATGAAAATCCTAAACAAAACACTAGTGAAATCCAGCAACAAAAACATCAAGATCAAAATTTCTAAAAATTTTTTAAAAATTTCTTTCTTGTAAGGGTATCCATATCTACAAAGATGGTATTGTAAAAATATAGAAGTTTTGAAAGATTTTCCTGTGAGATGAAACAAAGATACCCACTACCATCTCTCACGAAACCCTGTAATGGACTGGAGATCTTAGATAATATTTTAAGAACAAGAAGACTCTAAAAAGAAGAAATAATTAATTCATAGATGGTGAGTTGAATACACAAATAATTAAATTTAGATTTTGAAGATTACAAAGTCAATGTAGAGAAGTCAGTCATATCAGCAAGTATGAAACTTCAAAAATATACTATTAAAGATATCAAATCTAAGTGATGTATGACAAAACTATAAAATGATTGTGAAACTAAATATAGAAGTGTTTGCAGGCAAGAGTAAAAAAAAATTCACCTTTTTTTGGGGACAAGTTTAATATGAAAATGTACATGCTGGATGTGGGGGAACACACTTGTAATCCCAGCTACTTGGAAGGCTATGGCAGGAGAACCATGAGGCCAGCCAGGGCAACAAAGCCTTGTCTCAGGATTGGCTTGTGTAAATAATTTCAGCAAGCTGTGATTTAGGGGCTGTCCCTAGTTGTTTGATACTGGGCCCTGAAGTGATTAAGTCAGGTAGTTAATGGTCCTGAATTTGACAGGCCAATGATAAAGTTGGTTGGTAGAATGGGCTCTGGATTAGCTGGCCAGCACTGAGAGTAAAGAATTGTTTATCTCTAGTAATTTGCTAATCCTGGGTGGGAAAATCTTACTGAGTAAGGCCCTGAACACAGGGGGAAAAGAAAGAGAGTTAATATAAACAACCTCATCATCTTGGGGGAAGATTTCTTAAGAAAGCATCAATCGTCAGGGAAAAAAAAAAAAAAAAAAAACCACTGATAAATTGAATGACACTAAAGAATTTCAAGATTAGTAACAGAAAATTAAAAATATAGCTGTGCATTGTGGCACATGACTATAAGAGAATGAGGCAGAAGCATCAGAAGTTTGAGGCCAGCCTCAGCAATTTAGCAAAACTCTGTCTCAATATAAATTTTAAATAAATTAATTACTTAAAAAGGAATGGAGATGCAGTTCAGTGATAAGTGTCCCTGAGATCAATCTCTAATACCCCCCCCCCCAAAAAAAGCCACAAAATAGAAGAAAATATTTCCAACCCATCAAACTGACAATATATATCTTGAATATGTAAACAACTAAACATCAATAAGTTAAAGACATAAAAGAGATAAAAAGGGCTTGAATAGTCACAACCTAAAACTGCACATCAACAATATGGAAAAATTTTATGTTCTCATGATGAAATATATGACACTAAAAATGAATTATAGCTACATGCCACAATGTGGATGCATCAATTTACAGAAAATTCAAAATATACAAAAAGTGTCATGTGAAAAGCTAACTGCAATTTGAGGAAACTAAAGAATTAAGAGCATAAAAAAATGACTTATAAAAAAATGACTTCTAAGATGCTGGCAATGTTTTTTATTTTTTAACCTGGGGAATTGAAGGTATTTGCTTTGTAAGAAACTCACTGTTGAGTTGTACATTTCAAAATAAATTTTCTGATTTGCAGAAAATCTGCAAAAAAGAGTTCCCACATGCCTCATACCACACTTCCCATAATAACATTTTACATCACTACAGTATTTTTGCAATAATCAATGAATCAGTACTAAAATCCACATTGTTATTAAAATTTATTTATTTTCACTTATTGAACTTTTTCCATTTCACCATCCCATTTGGGATACCCCATTACATTTAGGAGTCATGACCCCCTGGCTATGATAGTTTCTCAGACTTTCTCTGTTCTTAATCACTTTGACAGTTTTAAGGCACACTGGTCAGGTATTCTATAGCATACCTCATCTTGTACATTCTAGGCTCATCTCGTACATTCGTTGCCCCAGCTCTAGAATGAACCATTTCTCCAAGGACCTCTTGTTCTTCTTTATAGAGAAACCAAGATCTGGATGCTAGAAGTGCTCACTGCTGTTGGGGTCTCATTGCTATGAGGCCCTTTCAGTGTATTTTGTACTTGCTTCTCCTATTAATACTTTAAAAATGTTTTTAAAAAAACTACAAAACCAGCAAAAATTATCAACAGAAAATTATGACATGCATTAAAAGTAGAAATGAATCCTTGAAATACAAGTCTAAGACACACCCAAGTGAATCGAGTTGTAAAAGAACTGTGTATGTATTTAATTAATCTGAAGTAATATTTTTACTCATACCCAAAGAATTATAGAGAAGCTGCTTTTTAGGGTTGTATCTATTTCCATATCATCTAATCATTTTTTTCCCAAAGAGCATCTACTGTTCTTATAATAATAAACAATTTATCAGAGCATTCAATTGAATAATAGAACAAATGGAATGTTAAGAATTTTATCTGATTCATCACACAAGCAGCAGGGCTGGGGATATAGCTAAATTGATAAGAGTGCTTGCCTAGCATGCACAAAGCCCTGGGTTCAATCCCCAGCACCAGCAAAAGGGAGGGGGGGGGGGAAGCATTGAGCAAATAAAATCATGTTAATAAAAATTTTTAAATAAAATATTTTAAAAGAATTTTAAAAAATCAGCAGTGCAGAAAATAGCATTAAAATGTTTTTGTAATTACACACATTTTAACACTTTCACATTCCTTTTGGAACCCAGGTTTTAGAATTTGGAACCGTGTTAACTTACAGGCAAATAAAAATTGTAGACTAACAGATTTTACACAAATTGGAAAAGTACTTCCTCAAATTCTTATGGTCAGATACCAGTTCAATGATTTTTAAGAATCAAAACAATCTGAATAGTTTTTTGCTTTTCACTTATGTATTCAAGAATAATACTACAAAAATGTGTGCACATGCTGGGTACAGTGGCACACACCTGCAATCTCCAGCAGCTTTGGAGGTTGAGGCAGGAGGATGGCAAATTCAAAGCCAGCCTCAGCATAAGTGAGACCCTGTCTCTGAATAAGATACAAAATAGATCTAGGGATGTGGCTCAGTGGTCAGTAACCCCTCCCCCACCAAAAAAGAAAAAAAAAAGTGTGTACATTTAAGTGTGTGGTATTTTCATAACGTTGACATGTTCTCTGGTCCACCAGCTCAGATATATTTATAAACCTTGATTCTGTTACCACAAATTTTGAAGAGGCTTTTGCCAGATATCTGAGTGAGG